CCCTTCATTTCTTTTGGGTTTCGCCGCGGCCGCCAGGCCGGAGTCGGGGGAGAGGCTGGGGGAGGGGAAACAGGCGGGTGTTGGGTTACAGGCGGTGAGTCACGGCTCCCCTACCCCCACCGCAGTGCGCACCCCTTCCCGCCCCGCCAGGACTGGCACCCGCTCCTTGCAGGCCCCCACCCTGAGGGCTGCTCGCCTGGGGCAGTTGCAGGCCCTGGAGAAACCCAAGAGGGGCGCATTGACCCCAGCCCGGTGCCCTCCCAGAAGAAAGGCGAGTCGGGGAGGAAGGGAGGCCCGGAGGCTGAACCTGGGGCCTGCCGCCCAACTGCCGACACCATCCAGGACTCCAGCCCCGGGAGCCGCTGGGAGAGGAAGAGAGTTGGGGCGCTAGTAGCTGCAGGATGGAGCTGGGCGCCCACCCTGCCCACTGTTTTTGGAGGTGGGCAAACCAGGGACTGTGGGAGGAGCAAGGCCCGGGGCCTGCTGGGCTAGAGGCGACGAGCAAGCCTCTTGGCCTCTAGGGCCTTTGGAGTTTTCCCTTAACTGAAATGACCAAATCCTGGAGATGGTGCCAGACACCCTACCCCTCCGAGCGAGGGTCAGGCAGGAAGGGCCAACCGCTGCGGCGAGGCTGCACGGGTTCTTCTAAGAAACTGCAAGATAAAATAAGGAAGAAAGCGAGAGAAAAAGAGACCTTAAGGAATTTTTTTTTAATAATAGTAAGTGCAGTATACCAGACTGGGATGGGAAGAGTGAGGTATGAAGAATGGTGCGTTCTGCACATCACCTAGTGATTCTTTACTTTTTCACCCGTGAGCGGGGTCCACCCTCCTCTGCAGCTCTCAGGTTCATCCCTTCTGCATTCCTGCTGTCTTCACTCCTGTCTACCCCTTATCACCTTACCCGGACTCCAGCTACAGCGTGTCCCTGTAAACCCCTTCCCTGCTACCAGAGTAATGGCGTGTAACACCACAGTCGTTATATTCCCCATAGGTATGCCTCTGCCACACTCTTGTGCTTGGCATTCTCTGTCCAGACTTCTCTTCTACTGGTGCTTGACATAAGCGCCTCTGCCCCTTCCTACCTTCCTCAGGAGCACACTGGTTATTGCATTCTACAAACACAAAGGCCATGTTTATTCAATTCCTGTTCTGTCTTCCACACTTGCAGGGCCTCCCTGCCCCCATCAAGCAACTATTCTACTTTTATACAAAATCAGTAGACATTGTGTATGTAGATTAAAAAGTCAGAGTGAATAACATGCAGGTGGAGCCTGGCTCCCCCAAGGGTTAGGCTGTGTGACCTCGGTCAAATGACTTAACCTCTCAGAACTTCAGTTTCCTCTTCTTACAGTATAGATTAGTGGATCTATTTTACAAGTAAACAAGTTATGTTTGTAGTGGTAATTAAAGCTGTTCAAATATTTTCTGGTTCTTTCCATCCCCAGGGACATGGTAGCAATCCACTACTCCATCCTCTTGAAATTAGATGTGGCCATGTGACTTGCATACGCCAGTGGAATGAGAGCAGATGTGAGATGCATTGCTTTTGGGCAGAAACTTTTTAGGGCCAATGGGCAAATGCCCATATCTGTCAATCCTGAAAATTCAGTATTGGCAATCATATCTTGACAACCATGAAATACAGAGATAGAGCCTCCCTCATCCAGCCTGGACCTCTGTAAAGATGGCAGAACTGTCCCAGCTAACCTACACTGAGAAAGTCGTGTGAGCAAATGTTAAACCAGGGAGATTTGGGGGTTGGTTGTTACAGCAGCATGACCTAGCTTTTTCTGGCTGATAGTGTTGCTCCCAAGTGCCTGGGACTTAATTAGTATTTGTTGAATGAATAGCAGCTACCATATGCTGACCCTATTTTGACAGTAAACCCTGTTTTCAATTGAGGAAACCATATCAGAAAGGTTAAGTAATTTGCCTGAGATTACACAGCTTGTAAATAGCAGCACCAGGATGTCAACCCTATCTGTCTAGGTTCCAGAGTTGGTACTCTTCTTCTTCCACATGTGCTGTGCTACCTCTCCTTAAATGGGAAGGATGGAAACACCCAGTACAATGCCTGGCACACAGTCATGCCCAAGCACAGGGAGTTCCTCCAGAATGAATTCCTATAGCATTTATAGTTTGAACCACACTTCAGCACAATGTTATCATACCTTGTGCTCAAGTGTTTTCACATAGATAAAGTGTTTCCTCCAACACGATCCCAGGCTCCTTGATTAAGAGTTTGAGTTCTGGAGTCAGACTGCCTGGGTTCAAATCCCTGTTCCACCACTAGTAATTGACTGTTTGGGCCAGTTCTGTTCCCTCTCTGCCCCTCAGTTCTCTCATCTGCAAAATGGTGATGGTAATAACATAGTTGATCTTGGCGGTGGTAATAATATGTCCCAGGGTGTTGGTGTGAGGATTAAGAGATATAATATATACACTCAATAAATCATGGCTATTAATATTATACTTACTTTTCATCTTCCATGACTCCTACTAGAATTCAGGCAATTATGAGCAGTTTACTCATATACTCATACTTCCTGATTAGACCCTGATTTCTGGCTTCATTCTGGATATGGGACCGATGTTGTAACATCTGCAGTTGGGAGCGTGACATCTACACTGTCCTACAACTTATATTTACACAAGGCTCATTACTTGCTCTTTATTACACTTTCTATTTTGAAAGCAATTTAAAAGAAAGAAAGTGTGTTTACTTTCTTGAGAAATCTTTGTTCAGAAAACATAATAATGCCAGTTAATGTTTACTGCTATCTACTGTCTGCCAGGACCTTTATATGTATTACCTCTAGTCATTGTGAAATTGCAAGATGGGTGCTGTGGTCCCCATTTGGCTGTTACCACTGAGTCTCAAAGAGGTTGAGTTGCCTGTGATCAGGCAACTTTGCTCTGACCCCTGCTCCAAGCTGCCTGACATCTCAGTTCACATCAGTGAATGCCTGTGCTTTGGCTGACACTAGTCTTTCCTTTTTCTAGATGAGGTTTTAGAAAATTACCTAAGGTTGTGACCTTTCTAACTCAAGTATGTTGTCTGATAAACATTTTACAATAAAAAGCAACCCAGCTTAATCTGGCAAAAAAAAATATATATTCATGCTTCTCCTTCCCCAGGTGAGCTGACAGACAGCTGCTCAGCTGGGCATATATTTCACAGCCTAAGAGTGGCCATGTGACTGGTGATATCTGATAGGATATGAGCAAAAGTGATGTTCATGACTTCTATACCAGGGTGTTTAAAAATGAGTGTGCCTTGCCCATGTTGCCTAGTTGGAAGCAGAGGATACCAAGGCCCCAGAGGATGGGGGAGTCACTAGATTAAAGAACCCTGTGTCCTTGCATCACCTTGAGGAATAAAAGCTATCCTCTGACCAGGACCCTGGACCAGTCCATGAGTGAGAAATAAATTTTTTGTGTGTTAAGCCCCTGAAATTAGAGAGTTTCTTTGTTACAGCCGCTAGTAGTGCTCTAATACATACAGCTTATACTGTCTGTATTTGACATAGAAGAAGCAAGATGGAAGATTGCAGCAGCCATCTGAAGAGTTGGAACCGAAAATGCCACTTTCATGTTCTCTGTCCACTTGCCTATTTAAAGAGAAGACTTATTACTTGGAGCCAGAGTTTTTCCTTTAATTTTTCCTAGATTACATGTATCAGAGATTAAATAAGAATAGTATTCAATAGTCACAAAGCAGTAAGAGACAAATGTAGTCAATCAACAATATTTCTTGGGTTTTTTCCCACTACAGACCAGGCATCTGGGGCTGAGAATGCTCTGTGACAAGACAGGCCTGGTGTCATCTTCCTAAAGCTTCCAGTCTGTGGGTAATAAATACAATTTACAGCATTCAGCTGACCTCCAGTCACCAAACTTCTTAGAAGAGTACAGGCTATTGGAATGTGTAATATATACTTAAAAAGTAAAAATATCTGAGTCCGTTTTTTATCAAAAATCTGAAAAGAATATGAAAAGGAAAATATATATGTACAAATGAATTACTGTGCTATACAACAGAAATTAATACAACATTGTAAATCAACTATACTTCAATAAACATAAATAAATTAAAATTACTCATGGATGTAGCTCAGTGGTAGAGCACATACTTAGCATGCACAGGGTCCTGGGTTCAATCCCCAGTACCGCCATTAAATGAAGAAATAAACCTAATCACCTCCCCCACACCCCCCTAAAAAGAAAAAAATTACTCATAAATCAAAGCAGAAAGCTATATTTCTTCCCCTGATAAGTGGCTAGAGAAGCAGTAAAAACAGTGGTTAAGAGCATAGACTCCAGAGTCAAAACCAGCTGAATTCAAATCCTGGCTCTGCCACTTTCAGGCTGTGTGATCTTTGTGTCTGTTTTGCTTCTCAGTTTCCTCATCTTTAAAATGTGGACACTAATAATATCTAGCTCAAAGGGGTTTTGTTGAGGATTAGTTAATTGAGTTAATGCAAAAAAAACCACTAAGAATAACACGAGATGACACAAGATAGCACCCAATTAATGTTGGCTGTTAATATTTTTGCCACCTTCCCATTGGTGTTACATTTTGTGCATAAAAGCATACAAGAGAAGTCCTTTTCATGGGGGCTGACAGAAGACACCAAGAAACACAATTATCAATAGAATCAGTTGATGTTACAAGGATTCAAGCAAAATAACCCAGATTAAGATCCTACTCTGAATTCTTCTCAACTGTTTGGTGATTGAGGGGGCAGAAGGTTCCTGTTGGGAAAAGCGTCACTTTGGGTATCCACTGTAGTATGGGGACAACCAAGTGGGACAAGAGACAGGGCTCCCAGCCCCCTCTGTACCCAGAGATGGTACTTTGGGCAGGTGCCTTCACCTCTCTGTGGAATCATGTCAGGTGAGATGATCCTTGGCACTGACAATTTGCAGGCCCTTTGGGGGATTTCAGTTTTATGTTCCCTGCACACTCCCTGTTTTGCTCCCTTCTTTGTGCAGGTGTGAAGTGAATGGCGCAAGCAGACAGTAGGTAGCAGTTCCATTTGCTTTGTTTTCTCTGTCCTAAACTTTATACTGAAAAATAAGATAGCTTCTTCCTGTGGGAATACAACAGCAGGGATTCGTTGGAAGGTTCTGTTATCGAGAAAAGAAACTGAAATGTGATAAATTCCCCATCAACAGGGAGAGCACTGGCAGGACTCCAGAAGCAGAAAACAACACCGTACCACCCTGGAAAGAGTGGCTGCCAGAAAGTCGAGAGAGTACCCATGTCATGTACAGGGATGTCATGTGGGAATAGGTCTGGCTGGCTATAGTGGAAGAGCCTTTGGGTTTCATTGAGGTTAAATGAGTGTTGGTGGGGGTGGTTCTGGGCAGCAGGGGGAAGGGGGAGATATTAAGAGCTCTTGTCTACATTTTGCTCCCTGTATGGCTGAATGTACTCGGTCGTATTAGCTAAGTGCTTACCAATCATGATTCTAGGTACTGGAGATACAGAAGTGAACAAAAACAAAGTCCCTACCCTCATTAGGTTTACAGACACACAAATAAAGGTCAGGTAATGGTAAGGGTTCCAGGAAGATTAAACAGGATAAGGAGGTGGAGAATGATGGTAAGGAAAAGATTTTCTCATAAAGTGACATTTAAGCAGTGGCTCCAAGGAAGCGAGAGAATCTACACTCCTGGAATCTGGGGGACAATATGGATACCTGGGGGACGAGCCTCCAAGGCATAGGGTCTAGTAAGTGCAAAGGCCCCGAGGCAGCAATATTCTTGGCATGTTGATGAAATGATGAGGAGGTCACTGTGAGTGGAATCAAATAAGAGAGTAGTAAGAGTTGAGGCCAGAGAGTTAACAGGGGGCCCAACCCTGCAGGACTGTGTAGAGTGATGTGAGAACTTTGGGTGGGTTTTATTCTGAGTCAGGCAGGAAGTCACTGGCCAATTCTGATTACAGCAGTGAATAATCAGACTTTGGTTTGAAAGTCTCCCTCTAACCACCATACTGAAAATAGAATTGGGGAGAGAGGGAAGTGATCTGCGGAGGGGAGGGGAGGGGGCTCTGACAAAGGCTGAGGAGAGGCACCTACAAGAATTACAATCTCAGTGCCATCTTTCCTCCACGTGGTCACCATACTTCATTCCTAAAACATACATCTACCTGACCCTGTATCTCCCTCCTCCAAGATTCTACTGATCTCCTGTGGCCTTTGGAATCAAGTTTAAACTCCTTAGCCTGACACACACAGCAGCTTGATACGGTAATGAGAATTAGCATCAGCAAGAACTGGATTAGAATCCTGGTCCTACTGATCACCAGCTGTGTAACTTTACCCAAGTGACTTGATCTCTCTGAACTTGGTTTCTTCTCTTTCCTTCTTGCCCTGGATTTTACTGTCTGCATGTCAGCTCCTTGAGGGCAGGTACTTTGTCTTGTTCCCTCTGTATATTCAGCGCCCAGAATAATATCCAGCACATAGTTGATACTGGACAAGTTTATGTGGGGTCAACGAATGAGCTGATAGAGGGAAAAGCATCTGGCATAGTGGCTGGCACACAGCTACCCAGCAAATGCATCTTTCTCTTGTTAAGTAAGGCTTTGCTTTCCTTTCTCTGCGTGGTCTAACTCTCTGATTGGTACCCACACCACCTCCTCCCACTAAGGGCTCATCGTGCCAGGGACAGTTCTCATTGTTTCATGTCTCTCCACCATGTGCTATGCCCAATGCCCAGGACACCCCCTTCCCTGTCCTCCAGATGGCAAACTCCTCCTCCCCTCAGAGACCTAGCTTATGACCTCACCCCACCTCTGATCCTGTGCCAGACGGAACCAAAGGCTCAGCTCTCTGTCCTCAGAGCACTCACTTCCTGGGTCTATCATAGCACTTACTTTGTGGTATCACGATTGTTTGATTATGTGCCCAGCTCTGCCCAGTTCCGTGAGAGCTCCAGAATAGTCAGTCTAGAACAACACCATCCAATAGAAATATAATGTGAGCCATGTATATCGTTTAAATTTCTCTAGCAGCCACATTAAAAATGAGCTAAAAACTAAGAGAAATTAATGTTAATAATGTATTTTACTTAACCTAGTATATCCAAAATATTATCATTTCAATGTGCAATCAATATGTAATCAATATAAAAAACTCATTGCTAAGCAATTTTACATTCTTTTTGTACTAAGTCTTCAAAAAACCTCTTGTGTAATTTACACTTAGAGTAAATCTCAATTCGGAGCTAAGTTTTCAGTGGTTAAACTGAAATACAACCCTAGCAAAACAATAAAGTTGTATTTGACAAGAAAATATTTTCCACTGCTCCAAGGTTTTTAAATTTAAGTTTTAGTTAATTGCATAAAATTAAAATTTTACTTCCCCAGTCACATATCCCCAGCCGTACAGGGGTAGAGCTTAGTCTTCTTTCTAATAGATGTATAGATCTGGCTTGTAATGGTTGCCATATAAACATTGGACAGATGGACGGATGGATGGATGGACGGATGAATGGATGGATTTTACTACCTTTACTTCCTCTCTAGTTTACCCTCCTGTTTCTTACTCTGGAAATGCACACTCCAGGAAAGAAAGAATGAACTTAAGGGAAAGATGAATCTGTTGAAGTCTTCCTTGGACTCCACTTTTTCAATCTGCCCCACTGGGCAAAGCTCAAAAGATTCAAGTTCTACTCTCTCCCCCACGTCCATGCAGCTCAGCAACCTAGCCCCTTTAACTCTTTGCTCAGATGTCACCTTGCCAATGGGGTCTTTCCTGACCATCCTGTTTAAAATTGCAGCCCATCCTCTCCTCCCCCATCTCACCACCAGTGCTCCTGACCCCCTTTTTTCTTCACTATTGCATTAACTATCGTGTAATATATAGTCTGCTTTGTTGTGTCTGTCTGGACAAGGCAGAGATTCTTATCTGTAATTATTCACTCATGAATCCCCAGTACCTGGTAGAAGATAAGTGCTCAATAATTATTTGTGGGCTGAATGAATACATGGATAAGTAGCTTGCATTTTAGCTCTTCCATCTGCTAGGTCTCTGACCCCAGTAAGTAATTAGAGATTAAACTTCAGTTCTCTAATCTGTAAAATGGGAACCGTATTAATACTTACCTTACAGAATTGTGTGATATGATCCTACAAGGTTCATCCTTACCTTCTAGGACTAAAGAAGATAATGTCTATTAAGTGTTTAGCATAGTACCTACATAGGCTTGTGGTAGGCACTCGAAAAAATATTATTAGACTTATTTTATAAGTTGTAACAACCATGTAAAGCAATTACAATTTCCCAAGGAATTCTGTCCCAAACAACAATAACAAAAAAACTAGGTCAGGGAAAATTAGTCTTGGGATCTAGATATCCTACATAATTGCCTATGTTTACCTGTCCTGTTTTTATTAGTATTTCTAACCATGGGCTACGGGTCCCTCGGCCCTGCCCTGGCAAGATCCAGGACAGCTCAGTGTCAGGCCCCTGCATCCTTTATGTTTACTGTCACCAGGGACTTAGGCTTTAAAAGCAGGCACAAGAGGGAGGGCATTCCAGGCGTGTCACCAGCCTGCCTGTGACAACAGAAGCATTTGACCCACCTACACTAGAGCAGTCACCCAGGCCTCAGATGGCCCAGCACCTGGCAGCCGGTCCCCACTGGAGCCAGGCTGCTGAGGCAGCCAGCTGGTGAGGGATGCATTAGCTGCCTTCCCAGATGAGGCATGCACCCCACATTCTTCTCAAGGGTCTGCTGCTCCCACTCCCTGCCCAGGCTCATCCTTTGAAACCCTTAATTTACCAGGCAGATTTCCAATCTACCCTTCCCTTCATGATGCTCTGCCTCCACCTGATTCATTCATTCATACAACAAATGTTACTTGAGCATCCGTAAGAGG